TTTTTTTTCACGTACATGTTTGGAATTATTTGTGGAATTACTGACTGCAACTATTTCGCGTGCATGATCTCAACTGCATTACTTTGTGGAATTCATTTTTTTAAAAATATAATTTCCTGTTTGTTATTGTTTTTGATATGAATTTTCACAACTTAAAAGACATTTACCCTCAAATTAATACTCTGATATGTATGAGACCCTCGAAGAGAACAAAAAGAGCTATTTTTCGAATCATATGTTACTAATAAAAAAAAAAACTTATTTTTAAGAGCATGATTGGCCAAGTTTTAATGACAAAATAAAAAAAACTTATTTTTAAATCTCACACGGCTAATAAAAAAACTTTATGGTGAAGGAGGTTAGTGACCTAACGATAGGAGAGCGGTTGATTGAAGCATCGTTGAACAGCGACCGTAACTATAACAATCCTAAAGAAGCGAATGTTCTCGTCCAATAAGTTTCGATAGCAATAAAGGTGTAACAATCTTAGAATTACTGGTTAATGATTGATCAAATAAAATTGGATGGATTCACCCTTTGAAACAAGAAGTTTTGGAATCCAACCAATTGACGTCGATTCAATGGATCTGATGTGGATATTCCATGTCCTTTCTTTTCTTTTCGTATAGTATAAACCGTATTGTTATTCTTGTTTTCGTTGGGATAAATTTGATCCCTTTCCTTGTACCCTCCTACGTATATAGGATATTTTAAGAGGTTAAAAGAAATTATTTTAAAGTTTTATGTTACTAATAAAAAACCTTTTTTTTACTTCTAAATAACTTTTTTTAAGTTTAGCCAAACATTATTTTGTAAGTAGTTGAATTAATGGTAATTATATTACCACCACAAATTTTACTTACTACACCACATAATTATAATCGCACTTCAATTAAAACATATTTTCAATAAATACACTACAATAAATTTATCATTATACTCTTAATTCAATAAAAATTAAAAAGGATAATTATATTTCCCCCATAAATATTATTTCTTACCCCACTTTTTAGGTAAACCCTAATTAAAATATACTTTTCATAAACACGCCAAAAAATAAAAAAAAAATAGTGGTGTACATTTCCCTTCTCTCCTGTCTACACCATGGATTGTTGATACATTTTCTTTGGATTATCTAATCTTGATTTTATTGGGGGAAATAATCATCATTATAGCTCTTAAGCCAGCAGAAGAGCTGTTCACAAAAGAAGTGTGCTGTGTGTACAGAAAATAATTCCACAGAAACCGGTCAGAATACACATATAGGATGGGTGGTGTTTTTTTCCCAATATTTTATACATATGGGGCCCACCCTCATGTGAGTTTTCGGCAGAATTCTGTAGAACTATTTTCTGTACAAATGGTTTTTTCTTTCACAGAAAGATTTAAAGACCTTTTTCTTGAAATGGTGGGTTTGCCACTGGTATTGAATAAGATTGAACTATTTTTCTTACGTTTGTAGAATTAATTTTAACAAATGCTACGAGATGGTATTATAACCACCACAATTGTATGAATCTTTGGATCTTTTAATGTATGAAATTATTGTGCATGTATCTTTCAATATGAGTTATATATTTTGCGGTATATGTATGACAATGATGGAATGAATAAATATACGAGTGAATATTAGATATGATATTTATATCATTTTATATATGGTTATTTAAGTAAATAAGAAACTTGTAGTGTATCGAAGTGCTAATATAATTCAATAAAACTAAATGTACAGTTTTATTTGACAGATCTTTTGACAGCCCTCTCACATGGGAGTGGGGCCCGCGATGTGAGGGGGTGGTCAAAAAAACTGTAATCGCGGACCTTACTCTCATGTGAGGAGATTGTCAAAAAAATTGTTAAATAAAGTTGTAACTATAGCATGTTTCAGTATAATTACCCTTGAATTAATGTTGTGGTGTAATTACAATCTGCGCCATACGCGTTAAATGTTCCCAAATGCATATGAACTTTTCCAAAAGGCCCGTGAGCATTGCCGAGAAGGACTCGAATAAAAGCAACAGCTGTAAAAAAAAAAAAAAAAAAAAACCTAATCATTTTACAGGTTACCGGTACTTCCTTTCACACAACAGTATAACCAGTTCTCCACTTAGGCCCCACCATCAAAGATTTTATTCTTCCGCAGACTTTCTACCGCCTTGAGAGATATTTCCATGTATCGAACGGTATTCTATTTTTTTAATATTTTGTGTGTGTGTATATATATATATATAAATGGCCTCTCACAGCAACAACTCTGCCATTTTATGAAGGTACGGTTCGTACTTGGCTTGATATTTTTTCAACCCTTCCCCATAGATATCTTTTCCTCAGTCTTCGATTTAAGTTTAATGTAAGTTCTTGATATTTGTTATGAATTTTGTATGTATTTGTGGGTGGCATATGATTTTCTCTTGGTATGCGTTTTGTGATCCGATTTTAATGGAAAGTGAAAAAGTGGTGGTAATGATTTGAAGCACAAGCTTGCTTTTAGGGATTCTAAATTGTGATTCAGTTTATACTTTATGAGCATGTGGGTTATTGTTTGACTTAATTTGGTCGGTTTTATTTAATTGTTTTGCAGGATTTTTCAATTCAGTTGAAATTAAGGAAGTTAAATCTCCATGTCCGGATCTGTATTAAAGACGTTCTTGTAAAAGCTTTTGAATTCCTTCCATTTTTCCAGTCTCCACATAGCAAAATCCTTTGCTTTTTTGTTTTTCTTTGCTATTTATACTGTTCTGTTGAGTGCTGTAATTTGATTCGAGAAAATGGCCGTGCAAGTAGCAACTCCATGTCTAAATTGGTCACACCCTTCAATTCCTCACTCACCATCTTCTCAAACTTTAGCTTCTGCAATTTCGTCCCTATCTATTGTAAGACGTAGTATTATTAACAGCGATGGAGCTCTAGCGTGCCGCAATGTGCACCGGCTGGAACGGTCGTCCCTTTTTTGGACTCACCAGTCGTCGAAGTTGTTCCGGTCCAAATCTTTCGAGCATTCAAAATCCCGGGACCAACCGCTCCGACGAGCATGCAGTGCCAACTTGGCTTCGTTTTCGGACGAAGAATTTTCGAAGAAAATTAAAGAGTTGGCTCTTAGATTTCAAGTATCTGATGATGAAGATGAAAGTTCCATTGCTGATGATGCTATGTTTGAAGCAGAGCAATGTACGGTCCCAGATTCTGTCGAAACAAGGTGTGAAAGTGTTGATGTTAGTTCCAATGGTGAAACTAAATTTTTAGAATATCAGTCATTTGAGCCTTTAAAGCCTCCAGATTTTCCTGAAAGAGATGAGATAATTCCTGCAAGTATTGAGAGGAAGGCGAATAGCGTTGAAATCCCACTATCCCTTAGAATGATAAAGCGGAAAATGCAATGGCAAGAAGGGTTTAGGGAGGCAGGAGAGTTGGCATACTGCTCTGTGAATAAAGCTTTTTCATCCATGGTGTTTATAATTCGGGAGCTCCAAAGTTATACTTTGCAAATGAGGGGAATTTTGTTTTATGAGGATTTACGAGGGATCTTGGTGAGGGTACAGAAGGAGATGCACGCCTCCTTTGTATGGTTGTTTCAGCAAGTGTTCTCAAATACACCGACTTTGATGGTGTACGTGATGATCCTTCTTGCGAATTTTACTGTTTATTCAATGGGGACTAATGCTGCTATAGGAGCCACTCCACCGGTCCATGCTTATGCAGCCACTGTAGAAACTGTTTCGGTGGTGGAAGATCAGAGTCCGGTCGAACAAAAGTTCGATTCATCGCCTGTTAAGACATTTAAATTATCATCATCAAATGGGAAGACTACATCTATTGGGGGAGGTAACGGTGGTGGTGGAAAATATAATTCGGTTGCCAGTGGTACAGATGGAGATGGGAGGTTTGATGAATCTGGATATCACCGGACTATTGTTCCTGACGAGACGTCCTCTGTTGGGAATCCCTCAAGAACAGGCGAAGAAGAGTCAATTTCTGGGCAAGTGGCCAGAGAAGAAGAGGTCAGTTTGTGGAATTCAATGGTGGAAGAAGCCTCGACAATGCAGGCTGCAACTACTGGTGAAGCGTTGGATCATGAGGCAAGGCAAAGAATTGTGTCCCCAGTGAATGCAATGATTGAAGCTGATGACTATGCGGAGTATTTTAGAACCGAGTTGCTATATCAAACGGGTTTGGCTCGAGAGCCCAATAATCCTCTTCTGCTAGCAAATTATGCTCAATTTCTCTACTTGGTCGCCCAAGATTATGACAGGTAAATTTATTTTCCTGTGTTTAGATATCAATTTTTCTGTTTCTGATCGTGTTGAAGAATTAGATAGCATCACTTAATTCCTTGATTCTTAACTAATCCAATTGGATTGTGTTTTCTGAAATATTATGGTGTGCAACTTTTCTGCTTGAATATTGCTTGCAGCCAAGTTTGCTTGCTTCTAGCTCGAGAATTATTGTACTTGTTGGCAAAAATTTGACCTTTAACAGGCAAAATGTAGTTGTGTAGAAATTGGGGTCAGGACTTTATCTTGATTGAGCTTTATGTGGTGCAATTTAGACCCTTAGTTTCTTTCTTTAATAGGAAAGAACAATGCATGTGAACCATAAATAGTTTTGACTATCTTGAATTGAAAACTCTGCTGAAGAAAATATCTTCAAAACCCAAGCAAATTTTCCAATACTTTGCAAAGGCAACCAAGATTCTAGAAATCTGGCGGAGTAGGAAAAAAATGATAGCTATTTGATTTGTATGTGAATTGATACTTCAACATATCAAATGAATTTTGCTAATAAAACAAGTTATCCCTTGTGCGAATTTCTAGGCCATAAAAACTTTCATATTCATTTGTTTAACACGTTTTTTTGATTTGTTTGGAGCAGAGCGGAAGACTACTTCAAGAGAGCTGCAGAGGTGGAGCCGAAGGATGCAGAGGCCTTGAACAAATACGCAAACTTCCTCTGGCAGGTAAAGAAGGACCTTTGGGCTGCTGAGGAAACATACTTGGAAGCCATTGCTGCAGAACCCAACAATTCCTATTATGCAGCTAATTATGCCCATTTCCTCTGGAATACTGGTGGGGAAGACACTTGTTATCCTCTCAGCTCCCCTGAGTGCTCCACCGATGTTTAACTCCAACAGTCAAATTCAATAAAGACAGAAAGATTAAAAGATGATATACCCCACCCATTTCTCTTGTCAATCATCATTTCTGAATAACCATGAAGGGAGAAAAGTTGAGCTTTTCTTTCTTAACGAGCTTTTGCTCGACTTTTCTCATTGTTCTTTCCTCTAGATGTTCTCGTGTTAGCCTGTTTTTCGTTTCATAATGGGTGTGGAAATAGTTTTTCATTTCTTTTTTGGAGGTGGAGGGTCTTTCATTTATAGAACAATGAAACAAGAACAGAAACGAAGCTGCTCGGGTGATTTTTCGGGTTTCTGCTCAGCATTATTCTTGATGGAGATATCCACTGGTTTCAGGCCTCTCTTCTTGGTTTCTGCTTTTTTGTTGTGCTCAGTTCACTTTGATTCCATGTTCTTGGTGGCACAATGATATTACCAAATTGTAAGTACACTCATGTGTTAATATTAATATGCCATTTTTTGATATTTATTTTGTTTTGCTTTACTGTCTGCTTACCTATAATTCTCCTCTACTCGTTCGATTTTGATCTGTAAGCAAGCAACTCTCAAAATAATACTTTTTTTGGGTCAACTTTTCATTCTGAAAGTAATTTGATTTTCTTTCAAAATAATCATTTTTGTTTACATGTAAAAAGAAAATTACTTATTCGAATATATTTGAAAATAAAAACTTATTAAGCTGACCAGCTTTTAATATTAGAGGAAAGTGCTCCTATATATTTCAACAAGAAGTTCCTCTTTTCAACTTTGTAAAATAAGGGAGGTTATTTATGTGCTAAAAAAACTATTAAAGAAAAAAATTTCACATCAATTAATGTGTTAGAAACTATTAAAAGTAAAATTCTACACGATTAAATCAAACATGTAAACATTTGGATTGTTTCTGACATTTAAAGATAAAATTTCAAGACTCATAATTTACTGGGCACCTAAAGCTCATATGTGCAATCCAGAGTAAAGAGTATATTCTCATACAAATTAAATATGAAAATTTAAATCTAAATAAAAAACCTTGAGATGCATATCTTTTAAGACTCCATAAAGGGTAGGAGTAGTCATGGGGTTGGGAGTGGTCCCGTTTAGAATCAAATCGAACTGAACCGAATACCAAGAAAAATCTTAGAAATGAAACCATTGGTTCCATATCCAACTATAGAACTGAACTAACTCGTTTTGATTCGGTCCGATCCAGTTCTTTATATTGAAAAAAATTATAAAAATATAGTATAAAACTACTTGTTAAATTGAAAATAGACAAAAATATAGTATGGAACCACTTGTCATTCTTGTAATCTAACATTATAAAAAATCTATCAAACAAGATAACAAACAAAAATTCACTCCAAAGTTTAAAATCATATATTTTTTTCTCTTCTTGTCCTATTATTTTTATAACTCGTCATTAGCACGAGTCTCGAAAAATAAAGAGAATTAGGTAGAAGGTATTATATATTTCAAATCATACAAAGATGCAATAATTTCCTCGCCCGAGTTCACAATTTTTTTTATGGCCATACACGTACACATTGTTTTATGACAGTCAATTTTTACTCTGCAATTTTTATGGCCGCTCACATACACATAACTTTCATTTTGTAATTATTTAGCCTATGCATAACATTTTTGTGATTTATATTAATTGTTGTTGCCACTTTAAATCACACGTATTCACTATAATTATGGTGGAAGACAATATTATTGTGAAATAATAACTCCTATTCACTGCAATTAGTAACTGTGTTTGTTATTCATGTAATGCTGGTGTTTAAAGTGTTTTTTCCAATTTGATAATAGTCAATAGTTATGTATATCTATCTTAATTTTTGGCTTCTTATTTATCATTCGATTAATTATCACGTTCTTATTCTTTTTAATAAAATTGTTGTTGCTCATGAACTAGCATAATATTATAATTAATATTCCAAAAGAATATCACTTACTTCTGAAGAGCATTAATTATATTGATATATTGTAGAAGAATATTGATATATTGCTATTGAAAAAGTAATAGTAAAATACAACGTGTTCTTGAAGTAATACATGTTTCGAAAAACATATTATTTTAAATTAGTGTTTATCCTTGAAAAAAACACGTAATTTATTTGATGTTAATATTAACTACTTGATATTTAATCATATTTTTCGAAACCAATTGCATTTTTTTTTTTTTTTGCTTTATTACATAGTTAGTTAATCAAATAGCAAATATCACAAAATTTGAGTTTGCTGCACTTGAAATATCTGGCAAAAACTATTTGTCATCGGTACTCGATTCTGATATTCACATTGTCTCAAAAGATTTGGGAAAGACAACAAAAAAATAAGTTTTATTAATATTCAAGAAGAATATTAATTTATCGCTCCAGATGAGCATACAATTCGATATTTCAATATTCTCAAAGAATATCATACTAGTGTTTCTGAAAAAGCATTGATTCGTGATGGATTGCTAAGATACTTGTTTGATTGATAGTGCAACTACACATACTGTTCTTTAAGACAAAATATTTTTTGGACTTAACATTAGCATAAAATAATGTTAATACATTATCAGGTATATCGAATATCATTAAAAACTCCAGAAGAGCTTGTATTATTTTACCAAACAATACAAAATTATATATGACGATACACTTTATTCAAACAAATTCAAAAGAAATTTGTTTAGTTTTAAGAATATTCACTGCAATTGATATCACATTGAGACGATGCAAGAAAATAATGTTAAATATTTCTGCATAACTTCTTTTATATCTAGTTAGAAGTAGATAAAAGAAGAATTTCATGCACTTCCATCTGGCATGTATTATACATTTATAAAAATGGTCGAATCAAATATTATCACGAATTAGAAGTTTGTTGTTCCAAAAAAGTTTACATTTTGGCATGATCGACTTGGACATTTAGGAGTTATAAAATAATAAGCAAATCACATGGACATCCTTTAAAGAATCGGAAGATTCTTTTACCTAATAATTATCCACGTGTGACTTGTTCGCAAGACAATTTAGTCATTAGACATTCAGCTACAAATGTCAATATTGAATCTCCCACTTTTTTGGAAGTGATTAATTGAGATATATGTGGGCCAATACACCCACCATGTGGACCATTTCGTTATTTTATGGTATTAATTGACTCTTCTACTCGATGGTCACATGTTTGCCTACTTTCCGCTAGAAATGAAACTTTTGCTAGAGTACTTGCTCAAATTATAAAATTACAAGCCCAATTCTTCGATTACTCAATCAAAACTATTCGTCTTGACAATGTTGATGAATTTAGATTACAAGCATTTGATGATTATTGTATGTCCATTGGAATTGTTGTTGAACATTCGGTTGCCCATGTCCATATACAAAATGGTTTAGCGGTGTCTACAACTTATTGCTAGACCATTACTTATGAAAACAAGACTCCCGACTTCTGTTTGGAGTCATGTCATATTACATGTTGCGTCACAGGTTCGTATCAGACCAACTGCATATTATCAATATTCACCTTTGCAACTGGCATTTGGTCATGAACCTAATATTTCTCATCTGCGGGTTTTTGGTTGTGCCTTCAAGTCCCTATTTCAGCCCACAACTGACTAAAATGGGTACCCAACGAAAGCTTGAGATTTATGTGGGTTTTGATTCAATAACTATTTTAGGTATCTAGAACCTTTAATGAGTGATTTATTTACTGAACGTTTTGCAAATTGTCATTTTAATAAAATTACTTTCCCAATATTGGGAAGGAAAAATCTACATCCTGATAAACAAGGTAAAATTTCTTGGAACGAAACAATTTTATCTCATTTTGATTCCCACAACAATCAATGTGAGCAAGATGTTGAAAAAATTATTCATTTGCAAGGAGTTACAAATTAATTACCAAATTATTTGTTGACATAAGAAAAGTGACAAACTTATATATACCAACAGAAAATATTCTAGCAAAATTGATGTCCCAGCAGGACAATTTACTATAGCAAATGAATCTCAAATACGCTAGAAGCGTGGTCGACCAGTTGGTTTAAAAGATTCTGTACTTCGAAAAAGAAAAATACAAGAGAAAAACCAATCAAAAACTTCAGAAAATATAATATTAGAAAAATTGATCAATCAAATATTGAAAATATGGTTCCTGAAAAACCACAAGTATCTGAAAATAATGAGATTTAAATAAATTATATGTTATCTCATAAATTATGAGAAATAAATAATGTTGTAATACACAAATGTTTCTGATGATTATAGAGCGCACTACCCGATATAATATTATTGTCGATAAGTTTCAGCATTCGAACAACACGATACACAA